ATCTCCACAGCTCCTAGACCTAGGACAATGACAGATGCCTAAAAATGCTCAACAAATTTTTGTTGAAAATGAAGGACAGACAGAATGCCACCTGTTCAATGCAAAGCTCCCTTCAGCGGCATACACACTAATGCTGGAAGAGTACTAACAAATATGGTGGCCAAATTTGCCAATCCTTCAAGCTTTTAATATCTCTACATCTTGGATCACCTCCCCGCAAACAGCTGGGACCTCATTACAGTTCTCCAGTTTGCTGCTTGGCCTGGGATCGGACAGGGAAGGGGTGAGAACATGAACGATCTCAACGGAATTGGCCTTTGGACTCTGATTTTCAGGTAGAATTCCCAAGACCTGAAACAATCCCCCTTTTCCTCCCAAATAAGATCCCTGGGGGCTCACGTAACACCTTCGGAGACCATGAACGCGCTCCTGAGGTCCCTGTTCGGGTGCCTTCTGCCTCTCTGGTTGGCGGCCTGAGCACCGTTGCTGCTACCCCGCCCCTCACCGCAGCCATGCCGGCTCCAGCCTTTGCACCCTGCCCTGTCCGCCGTGGTGCGTGTTGACTGCCCAGCACCTTCTGCCAACCTGGAACAGTCCCGGTGCCCGCGCGGAGGTGGGACTTCTCTCTCATCACAAGTAGTATATTAGAGTTCTTTTATTCGAGTTTCAAGAGGGTGCCAATAGCTTATAGCCCTTTCTCTTTCAAGGAATGGGAGTCCACGTAGCCCGGGACTGGGTCAAAGGATATTTGAGAGACACGTCTAGCGGCAACGGTAGTGGGAATGAGCTCCAAGGCAAAGTCGAGGGAGCTCCCTCTGACGTGCTCTGTGTGTGTGTGTGTGTGTGTGTGAGATTAAGACCAAATTTTCCTGATTCCCTTTCCACAACTCTTTTCATTGCACCATGTGAACACCACCAACAAAGATACTACTACCAACTGACATTTAATGAGGACCTACTATGTGCCAGGCACTGTTGTAGGTGTTTTTTGTGTCCTACATAATTTGGGGTGAAGGAATAGATGTCGGGCACTCAACGCGCCATGGAATGGGCGAACTGTCGGGGCGGGGGGTTCTCAGGGCCTGTTAGTGTTTTATTAAGAAGCTGCGTGAAGATGATATGAAAGGGGAAGGGGAGAAGAGAACAGGGTCAACAAAGCATGTGGGTGTATGTGGATGGGACGAAGACTGGCCAAAAATAGATCAGACAGCCCAGGGAGACAGACGTAATAGCCTGGAGGGATTTGAGGACGTGGAAATCAAAGGTGATCAAAGGAAGTTGAAATTATCTCCGTTTGTGAATGGTGTTCCTTCCAAGTTTCAGAAGTAAAATCAATGTGTTCTATTTTGACACAGCAAGGAGACCAGCTCTTGGGGGCATGGTGACTAAAATGAAATACATCAGACTCTCAACGGGCTTCGGGCTTCGCGGTATCTCTAACGGGTTACTTGTTATTTGTTAAATATTTGAATAGACCATTGTTGTGGAATAGCCACAGGAATAGTCCTTTGCATAAAAGCAGGGGAGCCAATCTGGAAGCTCAGTCTGCCCTGAAGGCCGCAGGGCAACGCTCCGTCCCTGGCCAAACTGTGTCATCAAGGTGGCCTGGCGCTGCGGGACAGATGGTCTCATACCACACAGATTAGGTTCCCTCGGACCTAATGACCAGCCAGAGGGAGCCTAATAAGAGGATCCTCTGTGTGTGTGCACAGAAGTCAGACTTGCTAGGGCACGAGAGGCAGGCAAACGATGTGTGCTGAGCAGTCAGACCAGGCTCAACCGAAAACCTCTGCACCAAAGCCTAGGCTGCGAGAAACCTCCCCGTACCCAAAATAACCAAACCCCATCAGCGATCCCCTTTGGGCCTCTATCTTCAATCGCTCTACTGGCTCCTTCTCCTCATTGCAAGCTCATATTTCTCCGATCTTTAACAACCACCTAAACCATCGAACCACTCTTCCTTCGTGCTTTCGTGCTGCTCCTTCTCCACCGCTGGGAGTGAGCTGTCCACCCCTCCTGCCTCCACATTTTCACCTCTCGGTCACGACTCTGGCTCTTCCCGACACCATTTCAGTACACTGGTTCCAACAGAGCCACCGATGACTTCTCAGCCGCCAGCTTCGGTGGGCCCATCTTCTCCCTTATCTTACTTGACCTCTCTGTGGCATCTATCTGGGCACATCCCTCCTCCTGGAAATTCTTTAATCCTTGGTTCCTACAGAAGGAGGACGACATTCTTTCTTTTTCTGCCTGACCCTTAAATGTTGGTGTTACCTGGTTCTGTCCTCAGCAACTTCTTTTCTCATTCTGCAGTCTCCCGGGAACTTCCCTCCTGGGTTCAGCCACCACTTATGTATACAGATGTCACTCAGATCTCTACATTCTGTCTTCACCACTTTCTCCAAGCTCTATGTTCAACTGTCCACGAAATACCTCTCTGGGTGCTCCGTGGAAATCTTAACATGCAAAACCATGCATGATCTCATCCCCAAGTTGCCCATTCTTCGTGGCTTCCTCACCTAGGTGTGGGTCAAGAGGAACCATCCAGCTGCGTAAGCCAGAAACCAGGGAATGGGTTTTGACTCTTCCTTTTTCCTACCCACGTGCCACCAAGGGAGTGGGCAAGCCCCATGCAAGCCCTTGTCATCTGGCGAGAGCTGCCGACGTGAGCCCCAGCCTCGCCCTCAAATCCACCTCCACGCTGGCTGCCAGAGTAATCTGTCTAGAACAGGTCATGATTGCGTCCCTCCCCTGCTTAAAGCCGTTCCAGGGCTTCCAGTCAGGAGGCCAGACCACAGGGGACAAGCTACCAACAGCTAGGACTTTGGCAGCTAGTCAGCGAGGCATTTGGGTGTGATGTAAGAGGATGTAGGGACCATTCACAGGTACATGGGCAGGTCCTGCAAGTAGGAGACACAGTAGCAGACCGCTCAGACTGAATGTTTGTGTTCTCCGAAAATTCGTATGTTCAACTCTAATGCCCAATGTATTTGGAAATGGGGACCTTAGGAGTTGATTCATGAGGACTGGGCCCCCATGAGTGGAATTAATGTCCTCGTAAAAGAGACCCCAGAGTTTCCAGGCCCTCCCCCCTCCACCCCACTGTGGGAAACTACTGCTGAAAAGACGGTCATCTATGAACCAGGAAGCCAACCCATGTCAGGTAACAGAATCGCCTGTGCCTTGTTCTTGGACCTCCGAGCCTCCAGAACTGTGAGAAATAAAGTTCCATTGTTTACATGTCACCCAGTCTCTGGTGTTTCATTATAGCAACCTGAAGGGACTGGTAAAAAAGAGAAAATAGGCCCAAAATGCAGTCGCATGTGCTAAGCTATGTCACCAAACTGAGACTTAGAACATCTAACGTAATTACAGTTGCAGCTGCTCCCAGGAGTGAAATCTTAGGCCGGTCGACCTAGAATTACCTGGTTAGCACTAGGGAGGCCATCTGCCGGACAGACCCCTGAGGTTGCCCAAAGAAACCCGACCTTGCCTGAAACAATCTACTCTTGTCTATGAACTTCCTGTCCTGCCCCCTTCTACTTCGAGGTCTTTCATTGAGTATAGCTCCTTTCTCTTTGATGGGATGCTGCCCATTCACCAATCGATGGGAAAAAAGCCAATAAGATCTTTAAAATTTACTCAGTTGCATTTTGTTGTCTATCAGGACTAAGGCACGAGCTATTCCAACTGAGGCAGAAGGACCTAGGACCACTCTTCCACGGTGAGGAAAGAAGGAACGGGGAACCTGTAGGATTGGTGAGAAGCATAAATGCTTACAAAGGAAAATCACCAGATCAAGCAATAAGGAAATGCACCAGGAGGTCATGTCAAGCCCTATTCACAAAGCAAACAGTCCACAGGAAGTCTAGGGACTTTAAAGTCCCATTCCTGGGAGTCCGGCATCAAGGCACAGGAAGCAGGGTTACACACGTACACAACAGTACAGGGCAAGCGAGGAAGGCAGGTGCTGGCACAAACGTCTACAAAGGGAGAGAGGGCAGGCGAGCCTAGAGGAGGGAACAGACACGAAGGAGCACAGTCCCAGTAGCGAGATGAAGGCCACAAAGTCAGATACACTGAGCTGCGCCAGCGGCCCTTTTCAAGGTGGGCTCCGGGATGATGAAAGAGGCAGCATGCATTCATTGGACAGATCCAAACACATCTTGTCCAAAAGGTTGCCAGGATTGGAAACAAGTGACCTGCCAGAGGAAGTCCCTTTCGCAAAACGACCGGCTTCTAAGCCCCAGAAATAAGGACGCACAAGCACTAACGGGCTTTGGAGCCCCAGGGATCCAAGTTCCAATCCCGACTGCCCCCTGGGTGGGTCACACTGCCTCGTCAAGGGCAGACCTGGGGCGAGAGCCCAACAAGGTCGCCGCCGAGTCGCGAGCGGTGGCCTCTCCAGCGGCCTGACGATTCCCGGGCCTGCGGGGCCTCTGTTGCCTGTCCGCGGGGAGCCGGGCGGGGGTCGTGGGGCTGGGGGCGCCCCGCGGGGCGCGGACGCGAGGAGGGGTGGCCGGGTGGTGATTGGCTGGGCCGTGCGGGCAGCTCGGGGCCGAGAACAAAAGAGCGCGGCGGCGGGCGGCCCCGGAGTCGGCGCTCCCGCCCGCCCGGCGCGGGCTCGGTGCTGGGGAGGACGCGCCCACCGCCTGCCCGTTCTCCGCGCAGCGGCCGGCGCGCTCCGTTTCTGGGCGGAAGCCGGCCGTGCACCTAGGAATTAAGCGGCCGGCGCGGGAAGGGGGTGGGGGCTGAGCGTGCGAGAACAATAATCGGATCGCGGCTGCGGTTGCTGCCCGAGGAGGGGTTCGGGGGAGGCGCGAGGCCCGGCCCGCCGCGCCCGGAACCGGGAGAGAGGCCGGCAGCGGCATGAGGCAGGCTGCGCGGCGTCCGTGAGCGCGCGGCGGGCCGAGCCGAGGCCGGGCGCCCCTCCCCGCCGCCGGGCCGTGATTTGCAGGCCCGCTGCGCCCCCCGCCCACCCCGCGCCCCCGCCGCCGTTCGCCGCTTCCCCTCGTCGGAGCGGTCGCCCGTCCGTCCGAGGCCGCGGGGAGCGCGGCACAGTCCGTCGGCCCGTGGCGGGGCGGCCTGCCGGCGTCTTCGCGGCGACCAAGGACGACCGGGAAGGGGAGCGGCCGGGATGGCGCGTCCGCGGCCCCGCGAGTACAAGGCGGGCGACCTGGTGTTCGCCAAGATGAAGGGCTACCCGCACTGGCCGGCCCGGGTGAGTACGGCGGCCGCGCGCGGGCCCGCCCGCCCACCATTTTCCCTTCATGATGGCGCGCCCGCCCCCTTCCCTTCGCCTCACCGGCCCCGCAGGCCGCCGCCGCCGCCCCGGGAGCTCTGCGCTGACGGAACTCGCGGCCTGGGGCGGCGGCGGCGGCCGGGCAGGGTCGTCGGGGCGCGCGCTGCAAATGGCCGTCCGCGAGCGGGCGGGCGGCGGCGGCGCATCCTGGCAAGGCCGGGTGGTGTCACTGAGAGGCCAGCAGGAGCCCGCTGGCACTCGTTCATCCATCGCTCGGAGCATCCTCCGCCATCCAGACTTGTTGAGTCTTCCCTGAGCGCGATTCCGGGGCCCCCGCCTGCCCATCCTTGTCCCGGGTACGTGCCTCCCTGTTCGCCTCGTTCCCGTGAACCGACGCCCGAGAGAGCGGGCTGGTGGCACCGGGACGCCCCTCGTGCCTCTTCACCTCCATGTTTGTTTTAGGTCGATCCCAGACCTACCTGATCCTTGGCCTCCGCTCCAGCCCACAAGGGCTCTCCCGTCCTCGGGAGCATCAGCCTGTCACACCGACATGGCATTGACATCTTTGTAGGAAGCCCTTTGAGTGAGGAGGAGCCGCAACACGACCGTGTGCGCTTTGTGTTTTAAACTAAAATCCCTTTTAATTTCATAATAGTTGGCAGTTCGTGGCTTGAAATAAGACGCGGAGTGGAAAGGAGGGTGCGGGCACCCCGGAGGCCGTGTCGGTGCCCTTGAGGAGCAGAGCTGGGCATGGGGACTGTTGGCATACATGGGACGGGGCGCCCCGAAACCTTGTCTTGTAGTCGAAGGATGAGAGCAAAACAAAACAAAACCAAAAAAAAAAAACAACAAAAAAAAAAAACCCAACCAAAAAAAAAAAAAAGACACCCATTCAAAAAAGGAAGTGACATCATGGGTGACCAGACTGCCGTTTAGTGAAGTCGAAGTCATGGATGGACATAGTCACATTTTGGGGGGCGGGGGGGTTGGGTTTTTTGTTTGTTTGTTTGTTTTTGTACTTAGTTTGGTCTGATGGTAAAACGGAAAGGGCACTGGGGCGGGACTTGGAAGACCTGGTGGCCTCTGATCTGGGCTCCTCATCTCGACTGTCTGAATGCCCGTTTCCGCACAGAGAGAAGCATCACCTCTAGGATCCCGTGCGCCTCGAACAGCCTCGGATTTCAAGTGCGAAAATGTCTTATTCCCGGTCCGTTAGGCTGTGCCAGTAACTTTTCTCCGCATCCGAACTGTAGGTTGTGCTTAAATAAGGCACAGTCTTTAGGGTGGACTAACTCGTTATTTGCATACTATACAGCCATACTGCTTAAAGGTCCAGCTTTGGGACTTGAGGCGTTTTTTTTAGGGAATCCCTGAATATATCTGTCACGTAAGACATAAACAGCTCGCAGGGTGCCTGTGTTTATAAATAGTCAAAAGTGAATTCGAGGTTATCAGAAGTTGGTCATTTCCGTGTAACACAATGGCTTTTCTTTAATCTTAGAGAAATATTCTCAAGAGTCAACAAAGAAAATAGTCTTAAAATTTCATTAACGGGTTGCTTGCATAGCTTGACCACTTGTAGTAAGTTTGAAACAAAAAAGTGCAACCGAAGGGGTCCTCGTTGTATATCTAACCGAACGTACAATTGCCAGAAGTTGTAATTCCAAACCAAGACAAACTGGAAAAGAAAATGAGGAAATCGATTAGGTTGTTAGATAAGATGCAATAAATACAGGAAAGAAAAACCAGTATCTGTACACATCTAACAAGAGCCCCTCAAAGGAGAAGAGCAAAGTTTTCCTGCAGTGTATTATTTTAGAGTGAGTGGCATGTTGCAATTTCCAAGGAAAGGTCAAGTTTAGAAAGAGAAAATGGCATTGGAGTCCCTCCTCTTAGTTAGTTACAGTGCTGTGTGCTTTTCATACATGGTCTGATTTTCTTTTCATCCCAACCCTATGAGACATTTCCCTGTTTCACACCTAGCTATAGCTTTGTAGACAATGTTATAAAATACTCACGTGGTGGCGGGGGGTCGGGGGGACCTGTTCGTTCAAATTTCAAATGCTATCACTTGTTACGAAGGCCAGTCATGTAGGGATTCTCTGTGGCCCCAAGAAGTCAAACCTGGGAGGGAAACCCCGGGCCCGGTGCTGCTCTCTCTGCGGGAGTGGAGACGGGACTTCCCTGCCGCGGGGAAGGCGTTCGGTCCTCGGCGGCCCCTTAGGCTGGACTCAGCTTTTAGCTGGACTTCGGGCTCCGTGGCCTCAGGCGTGGTGTGTAATCCTGCTGAGTTTCTGTTTACTCTCAAATGGGGATCATTCTTACCTCACAGACTTATTAGTGGATGTAAAAGCAGCAAGCAGGACTTGAGTGTTCCTACCTTATTTCCTTCTGAGTTTCTAACTTACCTCCTATATCCCTGGACTTTTTACACTTTTTAAAATTTTCAGTTCTTTTTTTTTTAATAGCTTATTTTTTATTGTAGTTTTTCTCATTACCATTTATATACCTTCGGCTAGCTCCACTCATAAAGTTTTCAGCTCTTGAGTAGGTTTATTTTTTTTCTAACATCGTATCATGAGACATTTCAAACATATAGAAAAGTTAACTGTACAGTGAACACCCATATATCTGCCACCTAGATTCTGTGATCAATGTTGTATTTTACTTGCTCTGTCACATCTGTCCCTCTATCCATGTAGCAGTCCATCAGTGCATTTCAAAGTAAGTTGCAGACATCACTGTAACTGATTCCTAGACATTTCAGAACGTATACTGTTAACTAATGGTCAGTATTTTTATAGGTCCTTTTTTTTCCCCCCTTTGGGAGGTCGGATTTACAGAGACTGAAACACACCTTAAATGTACCATCCACTGAGCTTAACAAATGTGTACACCCGGGACGGTAAGCCCCTGCCGGAAATCCCCTCATGCCTCTTCCCCGCGGGTCCCTCTGCTCCTCTCTAGTCACACGTTCTCGTTTTAACATTGAGTAGCAGCTAGCTATTTTGAGTAGAGTATACTTTATTGTGTATGACTTTAAAAATTAGAAGTTCATGGATGCGTAAGGACTGCCTAGCTAAGTAGTTATGCTAAAACAAGAGTCTGAACCCTCTTGATGGTACGTCCTGTTGCCAAAAAAAAAAAAAAGCATGCATCCCAAATATGCGTAATGTTACTTTAAAATTACATATACTGGTATTTGGTACTGTTATATGCACTATAAAATACTGCAAGGGATGACATGGTACAAATAATATTTAATGTTTTAAAATTCTTACTGGCAAACTATCATGAATGTAATAGATTAAGTCCATATTTCTGAAAGTATTGATTTTTGGAATATTTTTTGCCTGCTTCCTGTGAGACCTGACGGGCATGGTCACAGTTTTTCTTTCCCAAAGAGATTTTCTGCGCTAGAACTGTCAGCGTGGCCATTTCCTTGTTTGCTTGTGCTCACGTGGTCAGAGTTACATGGGTAGGACTCCTTTTAGCCACTTGCTCATTTGGTGAGAGTTCAGTGGGAGTAAAAGTCCCTAATTCTGTTCAACAGCCACACACAGAATGGCAGTAAATCACAGTAGGCCCCAAGTGAATAAATATAACCGTCTGAATAAGGACAGGAGTGTCAGTTTATGCTGTAAATGTTAGTAAAATTTACTTTTTAGGCAAAAGAAGAAGCAGCTAACACAGAAGCTGTACTGTTCTCTTCTGTCTTGTGTACCCATGAGGTGGGAGGCTCTGCTTTTATTACCCCCACTTTAAAAGATGGAAAAGCCAAAGTCTCAGAACCCTGGTGTTTTCAGCTGAAGAGCTTTTTTAAATTTAAAAACTTTTATGAGAATCCTCAGAATGATACAGTCACTTTAGAAAAATGGCCCAGTCTACTGTAGTTAAACCCATGCCTACTTTGTGGCTTAAACCCAGGCCACCCTAAGCCTATACCCGTGAGAAGGGAGTGCTGTTATCCGCTCAAAGGCGTGCACAAGGATGCGTATACGTAGCAGCTTCCTCTGTAATAAGTGACTGAGAGCAACCCAGATGTCTGCCAGAGGAGCAGATACACGCATTTGAAGTATATTAATGCAATGGCATGTTACTCAGTAATAAAAAGGATCAACCACATAAGGTGGAGTGAAAAAAGCCAGACACAAAACAGTACATTCTGTATGATTCCATGACATTCAGAAACAGGCCCAACGGGTCGGGGGTGACCAGGGCGTGGGAGGCGGCTGAGGGACGGGGTCCCGACGGGGCACCGAGGGCGAAGGGCACCAGGCGTGTTCTGTGTCTTGATCTGGGTGGCGATTACATAGATGTGTGAATATGTGAAAATGTATCAAGCTGCACATTTAAGACTTGTGTGCTGCACTGTATTGAGTTCAAGTGCGAAAATGTAACTTAGTGCCTTAATTTTAAAAACACACTCTGTATGAGGTGGGGGAGAAGAAGAATCGAATACCCCAAGCTTCTTCACGTATCGAATTTCACCGTCCTTAGCTTTCGGCGAGATTTTTTTTTTTTCTTTAAGGCCTCAGTCCTGCGAGGTTGCTGCTCATATGTTTATTTATTTTAGAAAGCAGGAAGACAGGGGCTGAGAAACATCAATTGGTTGCCTTCGAGGAATCGAACCTGCAACCTTTTGATGTACAGGATGATGCTCCAGCCAGCTGAGCCACCCGGCCAGGGCTCACCCTGGTTTTGATCCCGCTTCACCCTCTCACTGGGTAAAACAAGAATAAAGCATTTAGCTTCCTATTCTGTGACAGCTGAAGAGCTGAACTCTTACTGGACTTTCATTGAGCACCTACTGTGTGTTAGGCACTGTGCTAGGTATAGTGTTTCATGTTCTACCAACTTTAAATTTCAGCACTTCTAAATGACATGATTAAAGTGTTTTCATATCCTTTATTAATATAAATACTAGTTGGGAATCCTCAAGTTATGATCCTTAGCACTATGACTTTATTTTATTTTTT